TTTTTTTTTCTCTTTATTCCATGCTTTACTATTATAACTTTATATTGTTCCTGAGAATCATGTTTGGAAGAAATCTTTTTTCAGCCCTACAAAATCCCTTGTTGTCACAACTTTCTGTCCTTGAAAAGCGTACTAGCAGTGGAAAAATATAACGCAAAAAGGAAAATAAAAATCTGATACCTGGAATCGGTTCACCGTTGAATCGAACACTTATATGATGATCTTTAGCTTCTTGAGGTGTGAATGAAACCTTGAATTTCGCTTGTCCTTCTGCCTGAAAAAAACAAATTATACAGTTGCTTTAAACCCTCATTTAGCAATACACCTTTACTGTTTCAAACTCGCTCCTTCCCTTTCACTTGTTTACTCTTCTCTGTACTGCATTTTACATTAGGAAAATCTGCAATAAGTAGTAATGGCAAGGTACAATGGAAAGTTAAACAAACCTGTACAAAATTTGGTACATTTCGATTTTCAACACTGACAATAATTTCCATATTTCCTGCACCAGCTTTTGCCGCATCGATCATGAATGTACAGGGACGACCGACAACCGCCTCTTCGACACACGACAGTTTCGCACATTTCGCATCAAATGCCTTGGATGTGAACGGAGATCCAGTGATTGGCTTACCATCACAGTTTATATCAATCTGCAATTGTTATGCAAGTTTTGAAAATAGGAGAAGACAAGCTGTTGTGATGATATGCTCCACCCAAACTTACGCTCGAAAACCCCAGCCGGTTGCATCGCTGAGACAGGAAATAGTCAGAAAACGGCAGATGAGGAAACTCTAGCACCCAGATAATCAAGATTACTTATGCGCTGCGCACGGCTTTTATTACCCCAATAACATCATTAGCATCAGATCATAGGCGGATCCAGGACGAATTTCTGGAGGAAACGGGTGCTGGGAGAAGACGGGTGCTACTGGACGGGAAGGAGAGGCGATGAGAGGTGGGGAAGAGAGTCCCTATCATTCTGGAATTATGCAAAAACTAGGAACAGAGTTGTAACATTGCTACTTAGAGCTAATTTAGTTTAGAGTTACTTTAAGCTTTAGTTCACTTTAGTTTTAGCTTTAGACCCAGACTTTTGCAGCACTGGTGCCTGTGTTTCGCCAGTCCCCACCCCTGGACCTGCCCATGCATCAGATCAACACATCAACTTCTCATTTGG